TGGCCCCATATGGCCCCATATGGCCCCATAAGCCCCTATATGGCCCCATATGGCCCCATATGGCCCTATATGGCCCCATATGGCCCCATAAGCCCCTATATGGCCCCATATGGTCCCATAAGCCCCCATATGGCCCCATATGGCCCCATAAGCCCCTATATGGCCCCACATGGCCCCATATGGCCCTATATGGCCTTATCTGACTCTTTATGTTCCTATATGGCCTTATCTGCTCCTATACGCCTCTGTGTGTCCCTGTGTGTCCCCATATGTCCCCATAAGCCCCTATGTGTCCCTATGTCTCACTGTCCCTATATGTCCCTATATGTTCCTATAAGACCCCACATGTCCCTATAAGTTCGTGTATGTCCCTATAAGCCGCTATCTGGCTCTATACGGCCCCATAACCCCTATCCGCCCCATAACCCTTATCTGCCCCATAGGGCCCCATAACCCTATCTGCCCCATAATTCCTATCTGCCCCATAGGCCCTACCTGCCCCATAACCCTGCCCACTCCGTAACCCCTATCCGTCCCATAACCCCATACAGCCCCATAACCCTACCCACCCCATAGGGTCCTATAAACCGCTATCCACCCCATAACCCCTACCTGCCCCATAACCCCTATCCGCCCCATAGGGCCCTATAAACCTCTCTCCACCCCATAACCCCTCTCCTCCCCATAGGGCCCTATATACCCCTATCGGCCCCATAACCCCTCTCCGCCCCTTAGGGCCCTATCCACCCCATAACCCCATAGGGCCCCATAACCCCTGTCCACCCCATAGGGCCCATAACCCCCTGTCCACGCCCCACATCTCCTCTCTGCCCCATAGGGCCCAATCCACCCCATAACCCCATAGGGCCCCATATCCCCTCTCCTCCCCATAGGGCCCTACCCACCCCATATCCCCTACCCACCCCACATCCCTTCTCCGCCCCATAGGGCCCCATATCCCCTATCCTCCCCATAGGGCCCCATAACCCCTACCCGCCCCACATCTCCTCTCTGCCCCATAGGGCCCAATCCACCCCATAACCGCATAGGGCCCCATAACCCCTATCTGCCCCATAACCCCTCTCCACCCCATAACCCCTATCTGCCCCATAACCCCTCTCCGCCCCATAGGGCTCTATCCACCCCATAACCCCATAGGGCCCCATATTTTCTATCCTCCCCATAGGGCCCCATATCCCCTACCCGCCCCACATCCCCTCTCTGCCCCACAGGGCCCGCGCTGTTCCCGCTGCCGCCCGCTGTTTGTGGGGCCGCTCCGTGGCGCCCCCCCGCGGTGCCGCCCGTGCCGCAGCTTCTGCATGGGGCGCAGCGACGTCTGTGTGGGGCGGGCCGAGCTGCTGCGAGCACAGAGGGAGCCCCACAGCTTCCCGCTCAGCCCCACGGCGGTACGGGGGGAGCAAGGGGGGCCTGGGGGGCTCTATGGGGCTCTGTGGGTGTCTGTGGGTTCCTATGGGTCTCTGTGGGTCTCTTTGGGGTCTCTATGGGTCACTGTGCATCTCTGTGGGGCTCTATGGGTCCCTATGGGGCTCTATGGGGCTCTATGGGGCTCTGCGGGTCTCTATGGGTCCCCATGGCTCCCTATGGGTCCCAATGTGTCCCTATGGGTTTCTATGGCTCCCTATGTACAGGGGGCGCTGGGGGGCGCTATGAGGGTCTGGGGGGTTTCTGTGGGTCTCTGTGGGTCCCTATGGGTCTTTGGGTCCCTATGGGTCTCTATGGGTCCCTATGGGTCCCTATGGGTCCCTATGGGTCTCTATGGGTCTCTATGGGTCTCCATGGGTCTCTATGGGTCTTTATGGGTCCCTATGGGTCCCTATGGGTCCCTATGGGTCTCCATGGGTCTCCATGGGTCTCCATGGGTCTCTATGGGTCTCTGTGGGTCTCTGTGGGTCCCTATGGGTCTCTATGGGTCTCTATGGGTCTCTGTGGGTTCCTATGGGTCACTGTGTGTCTCTATGGGTCCCAGGTTCAGCGCTGGCTGCGCTTCGGCCCCACAGAATCGGACGCCGTCTGCGTTGGCTGCACTGAGGGCTCCGTGGGGCGGCGCTGCCAGAGCTGCAGGGACGGCTTCTTCCTGCTGCACGGCAACTGTGTGCGGTGAGCGGCTGCCCCATAGCTGCCCCATAGCTGCCCCATAGCTGCCCCATAGCTGCCCCATAGCCGCCCCATAGCCGCCCCATAGCTGCCCCATAGCTGCCCCATAGCCGCCCCATAGCTGCCCCATAGCCACCCCATAGCTGCCCCATAGCCGCCCCATAGCTGCCCCATAGCTGCCCCATAGCCGCCCCATAGCCGCCCCCATAGCTGCCCCATAGCTGCCCCATAGCCACCCCATAGCCACCCCATAGCTGCCCCATAATCACCCCATAGCCGCCCCATAGTTGCCATATGGCTGCCACAACGCTGCCCCATAGCCGCCCCACACTTGCCCTATAACTTCCCCATAACTTCCCTGTGGCCACCCCACAGCCACCCCACAGCTGCCCCATAGCCGCCCAATAGCCGCTCCATAGCTGCTTTATAGCTACTGTTTTGCCACCCCATAGCTGCCGCATAGCTGCCCCATAGCCACCCCATAGTTGCCATATAGCTGCCCCATAATTTCTCTGTGGCCACACCACAGCCACCCCATAGTCACCCCATAGCTGCCCCATAGCCACCCAACAGCTGCTCCATAGCTGCTTCATAGCTACTGTATAGCCACCCCACAGCCACCCCACAGCTGTGCCCCCCATCCCCCCCCCTGCTGACGCCGTTGCCCCATAGCTGCCAATGCAACGGCCACGCTGCCACCTGCGGTGCCGACGGCTCGGGCTGCCAGTGCCAGAACAACACCGAGAGCGCGGCCTGCGGCACCGAGCGGAGGGACTGCTACCAGCACCAGGTGTGGGGGGAGGTTGTGTTGTTGTGGGGTTGCGTTGTTGTGGGGTTGCGTTGTTGTGTGGTTGTGGGGTTGTGTTGTGGGGTTGTGTTGTGGGGTTGTGTCATTGTGTCGTTGTGTCGTGTGGTTGTGGAGTTGTGGGGTTGTGTTGTGTTGTTTTGTGCTGTTGTGGGGTTGAGTTGTGTTGTGGGGTTGTGAGATAGTGGGGTTGTGCTGTGTGGTTGTGTCGTTGTGTGGTTGTGTTGTTGTGGGGGTGTGGGGTTGTGGGGTTGAGTTGTGTTGTGGGGTTGTGGAGTTGTGTGGTTGTGGGGTTGTGTCATTGTGTTGTGTTGTGGGGTTGAGTTGTGTTGTGTTGTTGTGTTGTTGTGTGGTTGTGTTGTGGGATTGTGGGGTTGTGTAGTAGTGGGGTTGTGTTGTGGGGTCGTGTGGGGCTGTGGGGTTGTGGGGTTGTGGGCCTGTGGTGTTGTGTGGGGTTGTGCAGTTGTGTGGTTGCGTCATGTTGTGTTGTGTGGTTGTGAGGTTGTGTTGTTGTGTTGTTGTGTCGTTGTGTGATGTTGTGTCGTGTTGTGGGGGCGTGTTGTTGTGGGGTTGTGGGGGTTGTGGGGTTGAGTTGTGTTGTGTTGTTGTGTGGTGTTGTGTCTTTGGTTGTGTTGTTGTAGGGGTGTGGGGGTGTGGGGTTGAGTTGTGGGGTGTTGTGAGGTTGTGTCATTGTGTCGTGTCGTTGTGTCATGTTGTGTTGTGTTGTGGGGTTGTGGGGTTTGTGGTTGTGTTGTTGTGGGGTTGTGGGGTTGAGTTGTGGGGTGTTGTTGTGGGGTTGTGTCATTGTGTCGTGTCGTTGTGTCATGTTGTGTTGTTGTGTTGTGTTGTTGTGTGGTTGTGTTGTGTTGGTTGTGGGGTTGAGTTGTGTTATGGGGTTGTGTTGTGTTGTTGTGTTGTTGTGTGGTTGTTGCGTTGTATCATTGTGTTGTTGTGGGGTTGTGTTGTGTTCCTTTCCTCCCTCACCCCCACCCCACACCCCCCATAACCCCACACCTCCCCCCGTTGCAGTGCTCCAAGTGCCCCCATTCCTTCCAGCCGCCCCCCATCCTGTAACCCCCCACCCCATACCTCCCCCAACCCCATAACCCCCCATAACCCCCCAACAACCCCATCTCCCCCCCCCCC